CATCGGCGGAGAAAATTATTGGCCTGTCAAAATAATGAACCAATCGGGTCGTATGAAGTGGGTGAATCTGCACGAAGACGAGCCAACGGTCCGAACCTTTGTTAAAGAAACCATGGCGAATGAATAATTAAACCAAACGACTCTTATTACAAAAAAAAATAAATTTAAATTGTTCTGCGTAATTTAAATAAAATCAAACACATTATGCTCTAAGAAGTAGACCACATTAACTTTGTAAACGTCTCGAAGAAATAAATGTATTTTAAGACTGAATTCTTGTGTAAACTTTTGGCTGCAAAGCGCTCTTGTCTTGCCTAAATTGCTTTCTCTCTTCCCGCACGGATAACCCGCGACGCCCGCGCAATGAATATCCTAATCTACCCGTATTTATCCACACAGTAGAAAAATGCAAATCTCTGATAAAAGTTAATCCTTTAATTAGTTTCACCCTAACAACACATAGCAACCGGTGTGCTTTAATATAGCTTCTCATACATCATTAGATATTCATAGCATTTCGGCCAATGACATGGTTTAATTTACATCACGTGTATCTATCTGGATACCCCGTCTAGACCAGGACTTTAATTACTTTAAGTGGGAAGGGCTTTGAACAATAGGGAAATTGAGGCGTAAACAAAAGATTATGCAAATACAGTAAGTTGTATTTAGAAATTTATTCTAACTACACTTTATAGCTAACACTTCTCCTAAACGTTTGAAAACTACATAAATATAGGAAAACCAACTTTTTTACCAACTATAATAATAAACAGCGCTTTAAACACTATAATACAGCAACTTACCAGTAATGTTTACCGTCTATAAAATATATATTCACTTCGGCTCTTTCATTTTCCACCAGATAGCGCGTTATCGCACACACAATCTGATATATCGTTTTTCGGATCCCCAACCTTGTCAGCCGAGCGACAATACTGTGCACAATGCTGTGCTCAACACTTTCTGGTTCTCGAAACCGCTTTTTCTTATATTATAAGAAGATACCATGCTCTTTTGCCAACAAAATTCATCTATTCACGACGAAAGCGAACTGAATACTTCGTTGCACTTCATGCAAACTTTCAAGCGAATGTAATCGTTAATGCCCACGCTCACTTTTTTGAATATCTAATAATTTCATGCCTCATTGCTACGAAAGTCTAATGATGTGTGAGAAGCAATTTCAAATCCTCGTTAGTGTTTTAAACTTGGCTTCCAAATCCCCAGTGCCATGAACAATGGCTCGGCTGCGCCTCGCCATTGTTCATGGCACTTGTATTTAGAAACCACGTCTAAAACACTAACTCGGATTTGAAATATTACTTAAATTTATTAACCTTATCCGATCCGAGTTTTAGTACTTTAAAAAACTACCACTAAAATATAGAAATCGCTTGACAATTATATATCATAACCTCTAATTTCCATGTGTTTATATAACTCTAAACAGCAACATATTCTCTCGTATATAGACCTCATATGGCAGACCGGGATTTAATTAACAATTAAACTTAATTGTAGATACATAATAACTCTTATCACATGCTATTTCTCACCGTTTTGACGCTTCATAATATTTATATATTACTTAACAACAAAACATATAGCTGTATACCCCGAATATATAAGTTTTGGATATATAACACTAATGCTATTTCATATAGTCTCAGATTTTTTACTCCTCTAGGAGCTAAATTAAAGGAATCACTTGACAATAACAGCAAAATGCTAGAGCTGTACTTATAAAACTCCAGACAACAACATATTCTCTTGTATATAGCCCTAACTATTGTGTCGCACACGTGGGGGACGCTAAAAAATGCGTAGTCAGCAAGTTTCGCCCGATCGTGTTTAATCTCGCCCGCGTGACGTCATTATTTGCCTGATCCTGCCCGGGTGACGTCATTGGATGTAATTATGACGCATGCTAATGATGCTGCGCCGCCCCGCGCCGCTCCGCACGACGTCATTGCACATAATTATGACGTATGTTAATGAGTGACGTCATTACTCCTCCTCATTTGTACGAGTATTAATTATAAATGAGGTGGTGGACACCCACCACCTCAAACTCCACCACCTCACACCACCTCAAACTCCACGACCTCAAACTCCACCACCTCAAACTCCACCACCTCACACCACGTACCTCATCCACCACCTCAAACTCCACCACCTCAAACTCCACCACCTCACACTCCACCACCTCACACCACCTCATCCACCACCTCAAAAATCCGGCCCGAACGGCCTCTATATTACTACTTGTGTTAGTTGATTCTGTGAGAACCAGCAGCGGAGTGAACTCCTCAACACATGGTCCTTCGAGCCGGATAGTTTGATTGTGGGATAGTTTGATTGTGCGATAGTTTGATTGTGAGATTGAAAAATGGACGATTTGAAAAGGAAAAAACGGACGCGCGGTGGACACCGTTCGTTCGTTAAAAAAACCCTGGGAGAGGTAAAAGGACTGCTTTCCAATCCTGAATTGGAAAGAGAGACGTTATATAATCGAAAGTCCTCCTTGGAAGAGCAACTTGGAGTAATCCAAACGCTGGATAACGACATCGTAAAGGTTTTAGAAGACAAAGACGAGACCGAGGAAGCAGTTATTGCGAACGAGATCGAAGAGGCAGGAGTATTGAGGGCGATATAAAAGCTGCCATACGATTGTTGGAAGAAGCCCTGCCGCAAAAGAATAGCGAAAGCGAAGCGAACAGTGAGGGGGCGAGCTTAAATGAAAGTACTGTATCCAGCAAGAAATCCGTTCGCGTGAGGTTACCGAAACTCGAATTGCGAAAGTTTGACGGGAAAATCGAGCGATGGCAAGAATTTTGGGATTCGTTTAAAAGCTCGGTGGATGAAAACCCTGATTTATCAGAGGTGGACAAGTTCTCGTATTTACGTGGACTATTGAAGGATCAGGCGAGAGATTGTATTTCTGGGTATGCTTTAACGTCAGCAAATTACAAGAGTGCAAAGGAACAACTACAGCAAAGATACGGGCGAAGCAACGTCATACAAAAGACGCATATAAGGGAATTACTGAAGCTTCAACCAGTCTACAGCGACCGAGAACATTGTACGACGCGACAGAAACGCACCACCGTGGACTGAAAGCTCTTAACGTAGAACAGGAAAGTTACTCTTCAATTGTGGTGCCAGCTATAATAGACAAACTACCAGAAACTGTACGACTAAGCATTACGCGAGGAAAGAAACACGACGAATGGAATATGGACGATTTGTTGAGTGAACTGTTGAGTGAACTAGAATTGCGGGAAGAACACTGGACACCTAAACCACCACGAGCTGAAAACGGCAATGCCAAGGGTGATCTTCGAAGTGCGTCAGCCTTGATAGCTAAATCAGAAGAAGAAAGATGCGCTTATTGCTTGGGACGACACGCTCATGAGAGCTGTGATATGCCTTTATTGAAGTTCCTTACAAACCACTTTCAAGAAAGAAAAGTGACCCGGTAAGATCACTTTCAAGAAAACAAGGTGATTGTGTGGCTTCTCATTTAACATCTTGTTCTAAGTATTATATTAAAGAATCACAATATCATTTTCGGCGGCGCCAAACGAACCAGAGGCCCCCGCCGCGCTCATTGGAATGGCTAGACCACTTAAAGCTGGTCCGACAGATATTGTCAATGTAGCACCCACCACTAATGCAACCAATTGTTTTTCAATACCCGTAATTACTACAAACCGAAGTGACGAGCGTCCCTATCAGTACTACAAACAAAAATCTAACCCTGTGATTAGAAACCTGATCTACCTTAAAAAAGAGAGTCCATCATATCACCCAACCGCCCGAACCTTACCAAATGTGCTTCTCGTAAATGCGAGATCAATTATGGGGAAAATTGATGAATTAAAATATTATTCAAACGAGCATAAAGCTGAAATCATCATTGTCACGGAGACATGGCTAGCGGACAATATACCCAGTGAAGTTGTTAACATCCCACAATTTACTTTGATACGTAAGGATAGGAAAATCGGTTCTGGAGGGGGCTGTGGAATCTATGTCCGTAAAGAGTTTTCAATAAGAACTCGTGATGATCTCTCTGACTCGAGCTTTGAATGTCAGTGGCTAATTCTGCGTCCAAAGTGGCTTCCACGAACAATTTCGAGAATTGCTGTTGCTTGTGTATACCTTCCTCCCTCAATTGATCGAGTAAACTTAGAAAAGTTTTATGACTATTTTTATTCGTGTTATGACAAAGTATCATCTGAAAGTCCAGAAACAGGTTTTATTGTGGCTGGAGATTTTAATCCCTGCAGCAACGGTTTTGATATGAAGCGTCTTTCTGACTATTGTGATTTTAAAGCAAGTGGTTAAGGATCCGACACGAAACTCCAATATCCTAGATCTTATTTTTACTAACATGAGCTCACATTATAACCACCCTGAAGTAATTGCACCACTGTCTACCTCAGACCATAATATGGTTATTTGGATGGCGAAATCACAGCAGCGCTCGGTAAACATTGTGAAGAAAATTAAATTTCGTCCAACGCCAAGATATAACCTGCAACAATTTGGTTCCTGTCTTGCCCAATATGATTGGTCAACCGTACTAAACCTTGAGAACGTAGATGAAAAGGTTGAGGATTTCACCAGAGCTACTAACGACATGATTAATTACTATTTCCCGGAGAGAACAGTTCGAATGCACTCCGATAATAAATTTTTTATAACAACAAAAATAAAAAAGTTACTAAGGAAGCGAGATAACGCATACAAACAAGGAAGAATGCAGAAGTTTAGGAAACTTCGTAATAGAGTAGCATCGGAAATTACAAAGGCAAAGAGGCACTATTATGTAATGAACATTGGAAGGCTGAATACCAGCGGGGATGCCCGAATGTGGTGGAAGAAGGTCTGGAAACTGACTGGAAAGAAGAAACCTTCTATCAATCTCAGTGAGCAGGGATCAGACTCCAAACTCGAAGATAGTGATGCTGCAAATATGATTAATACGTTTTTTGCAGATCTAACAAATGATTTCCCAGAAATTCAATCCAGATGGTCATTGTACGGTCATTCAGATGTCTTGCCGACTGTTACACCCGAAAGCGTTGCGAAAAAGCTTTTGTCCATTCAGTCTCGCAAAGCTCCCGGTCCAAACGACCCCTACCTCAAGATAATCAAAATGTTTGCGCATTCTTTTGCCATCCCATTAGCAAACATTTTTAATGCATCATTTGGGCAGAAGGTGTTTCCAAAACTGTGGAAAGAGTTCCGCCTAGCACCTATACCAAAAGTAGAACCGTGCACGAATCTGGATGAAATAAGACCAATAGCTCTCACTAGCACAATTTCAAAAATACAGGAGTCTTACGTGGTTGATTGGATGTATGACGATATTGAGTCTAAAATTTGTAAGGAACAGTATGGTGGTGTCCCACGCTCGTCAGCAGTTCTTGCGCTCGTTCACCTTCTACACAAATGGAATAAAGCGTTGGACTTATCACAACGAGTAATACGAATTGTGTTTTTGGACTTTCGCAAGGCATTTGATCTTATTGATCACAACCTGCTATTAGACAACTGCTGTAAAATTGGAGTCAGACCGGGGCTGATTGGCTGGTTGGGGTCATATCTGAGTAAGAGGATGCAAGTCACAAGATTTGGTAACGAATTTTCTACAAGATGCATGATTAATGGGGGAGTTCCCCAAGGTAGTCGTATTGGTCCAATCGCGTTCGTCGTTCACATTAACGGACTGAAGGCAGTGATAAAAGATACCGAGAGCAGTCTGACTAATTCAAGCAATGATGATAATGATGATGGTGATGATGACCTCACTCTTTTCATGGATGATACAACATTGTCAGAGGTTATTAACGTCCGTGATCATGTCTCGGGTACGCAAGTTGGGAGTATGAACAATAATATTATATAATATGAAAGTTATGGATTTTACCACGTCTCAAAAAATGGAGTTGAACCTGAAAAAATGTAAGGAAATGCAGTTAGATTTCCGTCAGAACAAAACAGTTATTCCACCACTAACATTCAATGATACAACGTTGGAAAGGGTTTCAACTTTCAAACTATTGGGCTTATGGATTGACGATAATTTAAATTGGCAAACTAATACTGATTATATAATAGGGAAAGCAGTTAAGCGACTCTTTTTATTAAAAACTTTAAAGAAATACTGTGCTGACAAGATTGATATGAAACGGTTTTACATCTCTGCCATCAGGCCGACACTTGAATATGGAGCGCAAGTCTGGCATGGGGGCCTTACTAAAGCACAGAGCAGCAGTATTGAGAAAGTACAAAGAAGGGCTTTGAGAATAATTTATTCCGAAAAAGATTACGAAAAGTTATTGTTGAAAGCTGGAATGCATACGCTTGAACAACGTCGCAATAATATGTGCATTGATCTTATCAGTAAAATGTCTGACCCGCAACACAAACTGCACCATCTTCTTCCTAATAAACTTTGCAAGGTACGGCAAAGGGTTACACGTCAGAATGGTCAATTGTTTTACAATTACCACTACAGAACAGAACGTTTTCGGAACAGTCCAATCGTTTCGTCAATTGAACTCTATAATAACTCTATTTTATAACATAATATATAATATAACTTTATATATTTTTATCGAAACATTTTTAACACGTAGTGATAGTTTTTGGATCAGTCCATTTGTTTCGCCATTTGAACCTTTGTTAATAACTCTCTTTTTTTAATATAAATATCTCATTTGAAACTTTTATAATACCTAATGTAGATAGTTCAGTAATTAATGTATATTTTCTATATATATGTAATGCGCGTTCTAATTTAGTTACCTACTGTAGCTATTCAATGTGTAATCTTTCTATAATAATAATAATTATAATAAGATAGAAAATTAGTAGCACGTAGATATGGACGATGCTTTGCATGTTTAAGTAAAGGACATGTATCCAAGGACTGCCGTCGAAAAACTAATTGTAAAATATGTTGTAAGGGGGGCCACCATGTATCTCTTTGTGAATCCAAAGGGGAGGGAAATGTTTCGGCCAGTATTGGAAGTCCAACAATGCATGTTCGATCCGAGAGTCGAGTGGTGTTGCAAACTGCGCAAGGTATACTGAAAGGTGCTCAAAATGCAGCACGAATTCGCGTGATGTTTGATACGGGGAGTCATAAGTCTTTCGTGACTTCCAAGGTCGTAAGGGCTGCGGGGTTGCCAGTAAAAGGAAAGAATGGTTAGAGATTAGCACGTTTGGTAAGGCGATGAATGATTATAAGCTGCGAGATGTTTTTGACCTTGAGATTGCACCTTGCAAGGGGAAGAAGCGGTTACTATAGAAGCGTATTGTGTTGAAACTATTGCTCAAGTTCGAAATGAGCATATTGAGTTGCGAAAGGGGGAATATCCTCACTTACGGGGACTTTGGTTCTCGGATGTGTGTAAGAGCAGCGAAGTATTTGATATAGATATTCTGGTTGGTTCGGATTTTCTTTGGTGCTTTCAGAGCGGTACTATAGTGCGTGGAAGAGCTCATGAGCCAGTGGCGGTTGAGACAACTTTAGGTTGGGTTCGTTGAGGGCAAGTCAAGGGGAAAGGTGAAGATGGCGCAAAAGCACAGGTAAGTTGTGTTAATATTATTAAAGAAGAGCATGTTTCTAGTCCATATATGTCTGGCAATTGTAATGATATACTTCCGGTTTGAGACCCCCCCATGGGGCCTCGTGTTGTTGTTGTACTTATCTTGTAAAAATACAAAGCTCGAAGACTATTACATGGTGTCAGGAGTGCGATTTGTACTGAATATCGACCGTATAAGCTACAGCCATGGCTCTTAGCGGTATTGAACTTCCTGTGATGCAATGGGACGGCGAAAATCTCAAGGAAAATTGGCGACGTTTTAAACAACATGTCGAATTAATGTTCTCTGGACCGCTGAGATCAAAAACCGAAGCGGAGAAATGCAGCTACCTACTCATCTGGGTAGGGCAAAAAGGCAGGGATATATACAACACATGGTCGGATATCTCAGAAACAAACAGAGGTAAATTAAAAACATATTATGATCGATTCGAAAAGCATGTCAATCCGAAAGCAAACCCCGTCTTTGCCAGATATAAGTTTCATAACAAAATACAAGGCCCCACCGAGCCAGTAGAGGAATTCACAACAGAGTTACAACTCCTAGCCCAAGATTGTGAGTTCCACGACCAAAATGAAATGGTTAGAGACCGAATTGTGTTTGGGACAAATTCAAACAAAGTGAGGGAAAAACTTATAATGGAAGGGGCAGAACTCACGCTAGAAAAAAGCTATACAAATCGCAAGAACCTATGAAAAAACCCAAGCCCAACTCAAAAGCATGTCTCCTGAAAACAAGGAAGAAAGCATTCA